AGTGGGCGCATGCGAAGTAGGCCCAGCTGGAGTACAGAGGCTGCTGAGGCCTACTTCGGGACTATAGAGCCGGACTATAGAGAGAGCGGGACTATAGAGCCGTGGCGGAAGGATTTCGCGACACGCTGAATGTCTAGTCCACGCTCCGATGACAGGCATGCTGTCATGGATCGCGAGTCCAGCACTGTACCCAGAAAATTAATTTTCGGACTGGGGGACAGTGAGCTCTTCGCCCGATTGACTGTAAGGCCCAGATTCTCGAGGTGCTCGAGTAATGTGGCCCTGTGTTCTATGAGCTCTGAGTGAGATCGAGCTAGAATCAGCCAATCGTCCAAGTAGTTCAAAACTCGCATGCCCCGGAGTCTCAGGGGTGCGAGAGCCGCGTCCATGCACTTCGTGAATGTACGGGGTGCTAGGGACAGGCCGAACGGCAGGACCGTGTATTGATATGCCTGGCCCTCGAAGGCGAATCTCAAGAATCGCCTGTGATGGGACGCTATTTGTATCTGGAAATAGGCGTCTTTCAGATATATTGACATAAACCAGTCCTCTTGGCAAACTTGCGCGAGGATTTTCCTGGTTGTAAGCATTCCGAACTGGCGCTTCACAAGCGCTCTGTTCAGCTGTCGCAGATCTAAAATGGGTCTGAGACCTCCATCTTTTTTCGGTACCAGAAAATATCTGCTGTATAGGCCCCCTTCGCTCTGAGCTTGAGATAAAGGTTCTATAGCACCTTTGCTCAGTAGTTTTGCTATCTCGGCTCGAAGTAGATGAGATAGTTCGTTTTTCACCGTCGTCTCGACGCGCGCCGTATAACGGCGGGGACGTCGAGCGAACTGTAGCGAATAGCCTCTTTTTATAGTGTTCAGAACCCATTCTGATACACTTTCGCGTGAATAGCTAGGGGTAGAATGAGATCTGGGCTCTGGCCGTGACATAGTGACGGCAAGGGAGCTCCGGCGTGCTGTAACGCAGACACTGTGTTTACAGTGTGTGAGGAGGGGGGCGCGCCGATTGCGGCGGGCAGCCTGGCCGCGCTCAAAACCCTTATAGCAGTTTGCTAAGGGAGAGAGAGCGGGGCGAGCCCCGTGGGGCTTAACATGTCTGTAAGTGAATGTGGGCGCAGGACAGCGGGCACATTTACTCCACTGAAAAACACCGTCGGCCTGAGCTGACTGAATGTGTGTTGGTTTCGTTTTTACAGAACCCGTGGGACATGTGGTGTGTAGTGTTTGTGGGCACTGAGACGTGGGCACATTCACTACATTTAGTGCACAATCGACATGAGGCGATTTTGTTTGTGCGAGCCCTGCATTTTTGCGGGCTGTGTTTGTGTGTAGAAATGAGCCCTGGGTTGTGGGCATTTTTATTACACTCATAACACCATCGGCTGTGGCCGGAATACCAGAAAATACACCGTTTATGTGATTTATCTGGGTCGCCGTGGGAACAGCATTTGTGTGCAGGCAAGCGGGCGTGGTACTGGCTTGCTTACACTGGAACAGTCACATTTTCTGGAACTGAACGAGCGAAAAATTTCAGTGGAAGTCTGGCCGCGGCGAGACTGAAACACCGTCGATTTCCTAGGAGGCTAGGAAGACTTGTGTTGGTTTCGTTTTACAGAAACCGTGGTAGTGTTTGTGGGCACTGGGTTGTGGGCACATTCACTACATTTAATGCACAATTGACATGCGTCGATTTCATTTGTGCGAGCCCTGTACCGTGGCGGGCTGTGTTTGTGTGTAGAAATGAACACTGGGCTGTGAGCATTTTATTACACTTATAACACCATCGGCTGTGGCCGGAAAACCAGAAAATACAATGATTACATGATTTTTCTGGGTCGCCGTGGAAACGGCCTTTATGTGCAGGCAAGCGGGCCGTGGTACCGGCTTGTTTACTGCAAAATACACTGGAACAGTCGCATTTTCTGGAACTGAACAAGCGAAAAGTTTCGGTGGAAGTCTGGCCGCGGCGAGACTAAATTTTTATCTGCTGCGAGAGCCGGGATCAAACACGGGTCTCTCACGCGAAGGCTTCGGGTTCCGCCACTGAGCCACAGAGGAGAACTACATTAGTGCAAGCAGATAAGAGAGTGTCATCACAGTTTTGTGTGTGTCGGCGTCTGTTTGCAGGTGTGCGTGTTATACAACAGGCTCATTGCTGCAATATTGACATTTTCAGCCGCTCAAACTAAGAGGAGCTGAGAAATGTTTGAGAAATGGAGATAAGTCCGGCCTCGGCGGGGACTAAAACACACTCTTTCCTCATTTGCCGGTGACGCACGCCCATGGGGGGCGGGGTATATTTCTTATAACGTAAAGAAAGCCAGCCGCGGTTTTAGGGCTCGCGGTCTTGATGCTGGCCCGTTTCCCTGACGACTCGCGGACAGAAGGGGGAGGTCCACAGAGCTCGCCCAGTCCTCACTGTCCGACGCCAGAATAAAGCAGCAGGTCTCCTCTACAGATGCAGCTATCTCGTCGTCATTAATGGCGGAAGCGGCGGCGCACGGCGGCCGTTATCCGTCAGTGAGCGACTCGAGTGAAGCTGGTGAAGCTGGCGGGCGAACCGGCGAGCTTTCACGGGCTGGAGAAGGCTCGGGGACCCGCTGAGTACGGCGCTTTAACGGCGCGGCACTGTAGCGGGTGGAAGTGCAGTCTCGCTTAAGGATGCCAGGCGAGTCCTCAGAGTCACCGTAGGCAATAGCTCGCAGTGAGGGCAGCCGCTGTCGGCGAGCGCGAGAGCTGCATGATCCTCTCACAGGCAGGAAACGCATCACATGGCGGTCCCCGTCGCTGAGTGTGGCTCGGCACGAGCCACAGGAGGATGGCATCTTTAAAAAGACGCGGCTATTTTAGATGATAGACGTGTGAGTCGCGGGGCGAGCACACACACACACACATACACACAGAGCAGAGTAAAGGATATATAGTGCGTCGGAAAGCGCAGCAGGTACGGCGGCTGAAGGTGGCGAGGTGAAGGCCAGCGACTTCAGGCTCAAGGGCTCGTCACGCTGAAGGCTTGCGTCGACGGCGCGGCTTCTCACTCCGGATCCAGCGATGCATGTAGCTTCGCTGAAGAGATGAAAACCAGTGTACCAGCCTTATCGAGCTATATTTATAGGGAGAGACCACGCCCTTTCTGGCGGGACGTGACGAAATGGGCGCGAAATGCCCCCATTGGATATGGTGTCACATAGCGCCTCTCTCGATAGGCTGCTGCTGTTGCCACAGGGCAGCCAATAGGCGCGTGAGCCGTCCTGCCTATGTCTGCATGCTGCTGCACAGCGTTTTACATTAATTCAAAATTAAGGATAATTTTTGGCTTCAATATCTCGTGGAAAAGAGGTTTTCCCCATAGCGTAAGATATTACGCAGTACGAGAGATACTCTCGTAAGAGAACTGTAGTTATGAAAAGTCACCATAAAAGCAAAAAAAAAAAAAAAAAACTGTCACTCACATGAGATCCACCAATAGCAAACCACATCAAATCAATTACTTTATAAAGATAAATATCCTTCACATAACCATGAACACCTGTATGGCAAGCCTGTTCTTTCATTTACAGTCAAATGTGCATAACTTTAGTCAGAACTATTCTCAGTCGAGTGTCTCCGATTTTGCTGTTTAAATAGACCTGCCTGCGTGAGACAAATACACAACATTAGAAAATACTGAAATGATTTCAGTACAGCTTCAACAAAAATCCTCACAAAGGAACTAGTTCTATTTACCTGCTTAGTATAAAAGATGTTTGAGAAAATCTGAAGATTTGAAACGTCTTATTTTCTGTTAGTTTAACACACGAAAGCAGCTGAAGGCCTTGTTGACAGAGAATTCATCGTTTAAACGACTTTACGAAATGATTCTCACCTGAGTAAACCAAAGGTATGAAGATGAAGAAAATAATGAACTTCTTCATTATGTATGAAAATCCATGAATTTGACACACACTTCTTTATGTGTAGTCGTCGAAGAGCGCTGTAAAACTCTTTAGCCTTTGCTACATCAGAATCAACAGGTAAAACCAGTTTCTGAACTGACGTCACTGCAGCTCGAGAGAAACAGCCTCAACACGGAAGTGAAGGGTGGAAACTTTTACTCACAGGTTGTCGTCGCTTCGCTCCGTAACGTGTTTTACCATTTCGATTCAGATGTAGCAAAGGCTAAAGAGTTTTTACAGCGCTCTTCGACGACTACACACAAAGAAGTGCTGGTCAGATACAAGGATTTTCATCCATAATGAAGAAGTTCATCATTTTCTTCATCTTTATACCTTTGGTTTACTCAGGTGAGAATCATTTCGTAAAGTCATTTAAAAGATGAGTTCTGTCAACAAGGCCTTCAGCTGCTTCCGTGTGTTGAACAGACAGAAAATCATCAGACATTTTTAATAGAAAATAGATTTGGTAAAGTTGCTAAGGTACCAGAACTGGATTCACACTCAGAAAATGTTTAATGAGTGAAAAAAGTAGAAACCTAAGGATTATTTGTAGTGTCTCAAATTCAATAAATATTCATTTGAATAGTGATATTTAAGTTCTTTGATTTATGACACTGTATATGTGGTGTTTAACCGTCATGTCTTTGTGTTGTTTTGTTCAATGTTTGTTCAGGAATGCACAGCTTCATCACCACATACACTGAAATAAACGGACAGACGACTGCAGGAATCCCAGAGTTTTCTGCTGTAACTACACTGGATGGACAACAGATTGATTATTATGACAGTAACATAAAGAAGCTGATTCCCAAACAGGACTGGATGAAGGAGTTTGCATCTACAGAGATGTGGAGAGAAGACACTGAGATCAGAGAAAAAGTGCAGCAGATCTACAAAATCAACATTCATGTTCTAATGCAGCGATTCAATCAGTCAGACGGTGAGTTAAAATGCTTTAAACTACATTAAAAAGTCAAAGATTACCTTGTACATAAAAAAAGCACATGTTTTGAGCACATGTATTTTGTTCTCTCCCCGACCTTGTTATCTTCTTCAGGTGTTCATACGTATCAGAGGATGTATGGCTGTGATTGGGATGATGAGACTGGAGAATCACAAGGGTTTGATCAGTACGGTTATGATGGAGAAGATTTCATCTTATTGTACCTGAAGGAGGACATATACATCACACCTGTAGCACAGGCAATACCCACAGTGCAGAAGTGGAATAATGACAAAACACAACTTACATCTCTGAAACAATACTATAATAATGAGTGTGTTCACTGGCTGAAGGAGCTCTTGAAGTTAAGGAAAGGGGCTAACAGGATAACAGGTACCTTGTTGTTTAGAAATTTACTTTGTTCAACAAGTATATCATTTTTTTATTATGAGTGTTAATGTCTTTCATTTATCATGTATTGCTTCATTAAAAAATACAAACTTAGCACAATTTAATAAGTTAATCATATGGATAAATGTAACTGATCTGATCTGAGATATTAAATATTCTTCTCACATTTTTCTCGATCTTTTTTCAGCTCCTGAAGTGTCTCTGTTACGGAAGGATCCCTCTTCTCCAGTAGTGTGTCATGCCACAGGTTTCTACCCATCAGGAGTGACTATTACCTGGTTCAGAAATGGACTGGAGCACCATGAGGATGTGGATCTTGGAGAGCTTCTGCCAAATGAGGACGGGACCTTCCAGAAGACAACTAGCCTTCATGTTTCTCCAGACGAATGGGAGAACAACCAGTTCAGTTGTGTGGTGGAGCACCAGGGAAAAACCATCCAGAAGACTGACCATGAGACCAAGAGCAACAACAGTAAGTTATTAATACTGCGGTAGATTGTTTATGGTAATTACTATAAAGGTTATCCTATCCTTATCATATTTGACATCACCTAGCTGAGGGACAGAAATCTACCAAATTTCTTCAAAAAGATCTTCATTTGTATTTCAAAAATAAACTAAAGTTTTGTAGGTTTGGATCGACATCAATTATGATCGGCAAGTAAATTGAGACAGTATTGGCATTTTGGCTGAAATAACCCTTTCAACTTGTTAATGTGTTATTTTGATTGAAAAAAAATCTATTTGATAGATTTGCCCAGTCTGATCTAGTTCACCTGAAAATGATCATTTACTCGCCCTGATGTCTTTCAAACCTGTGCGACTCTCATAAAGACGTCATACAGCAATATTCTGATCTTTCATACAATAAATGTGACTGGGAAAGAGTTTGTCAAGTCAAGAACACAACATAAGTATTATGAAATGAGTCTATGTGACTTGTGGGCTGTATTTCAAGTCTTCCAAAGTTATATGACAGCTTTGTTTGTTTGTTCATTTAAAAGTAAGTTGGTATTCATCTCAGTGCACTATACAAACAGGTTTATTCTCGTGTATGTAAATAAGGCACCAGATTTGAATGAGTTTTGAACTGTGTCTCAAACAAAACATTTACACGGCTTCAGAAGATTGTTGCAGGTTTATTTAATTTTTAGTTCAGTTTTATATGATAATAACTCTGGACCTAACTGATTATTAACTTGCTATTATTAGTATTGACTATTATTAGATCAGTTAGTTGTTTCAGCTGTGTCTGTATATATTGCATTTCTTTTACATGTTTATTTTCTTTTTAAGGACTTCGAGAACTAGGCGTAGCGATTCTTGTGTGTGTGATGGGAGGAGTCATAGTCCTGGTTATTGGTACTGTTTTCTATATTAAGATCAAAGTAAGTATATGTTTATTTTTTTTATTTTTCTGCTCTTATTTCTCATTCAAGTGGTTTCATCAGCTGTAGGATGATAGGAATGTCCTCAGCAATGCATTCAAAAGTTTGGATTTACAGAGACATTTTAATGTGATTGATAGAAATTCCATTAAGGTGGAATTAAACCGAGCTAATGCTTCACTAATGTTGAAAACATGTTGGGGAAGTTACTTTTAAAAAGTAGTGTAACTCGTTACTCGTTACTTCTTAAAAAAAAGTAATCTGTTACTTTACTTAGTTACCCCATATGGAAAGTAACTTTTTACGTTACTCTTACTTTTACGTTACTTTTATGTTGCTTGACTTTGGGCAGAACCCAATATCTGTTCCTAAATGTGTAGGCCTACATAAAGTTATACTATGCATAATGCCATATTTGATGCCATAAATGCATAATGCATTTATCAAAATTTTGAATATTTATGAAGAAATGCCCGTTAATGGATAGGCATATGCATGGGCGGCGCTAGGGAGGGGCTAGAAAGAAAGCCCAAAACAAAGACCAAAGGTCCCTGTTAGCACCCCCAAAAATAATTTCTGGAAGCAATTATATTCAGGCTGTATTCTAGGGAAGTCCTGAACCGCATGGTGAAAATTTTTAAAAAAAAAATTCGACATAATAAGGGGACATTCTAATCTGCATTAAGCGTTCTTATAATGGTTTTCTATGGGAGGAAAATGCTTAATGTGTAAGTAAATGCGTTGCGTTCATATTCTGGGCTCATCTGATTTTTTGTACATAGTATACTTTATTATGATTTTAGTATCATAATGATTAATAAATGCACGCACAATTATCCGTGAACTTGATAAATGTTGCAGATATGTTTTACTATGCACGTAAACAAATGCCTTTCAACATGTGTGCAAAATTCAGAATTAAATGAATGTGTAGCAATATACAAATAGAGAGTCTGTAGGCCTACTATATGTGTTGTAGCCATTAAATAAGCGCATTTAGTTTCATATTTGTTAAAATATTATAATGTTATTTTTTTCCATTTATGTTGATTATAAAAAGTGAACAGCATGAGTAAGATGGATGTGCAATATATCGGGAGACATTGAGTCGGTCGGACATGATTTTGACCACTTCATTAAGTTTTGAAGAAAGCCTTTCTTTAAAGTGAATTTTGTTTTGTATAAATTGTATCTTAATTTTAATAAATTTTTTATCAACCAATTGCCTGGATTTATTAAATAAGAAGCAAATATAGCAGACAATATAATCATGACATGGAGGCGCTGGCGCGGTCACTTGTTGCGCGTGAACTGGAGCAGCTCATCATAAATTACCCGAAACTCAGCGTATGCCTCACAGACATGAGAAATATATCTATATAAAAAGCTTGAAATGTCTTTAAACGAAACAATTCAAAACGAAAAGAAATAGGCTACTCTCTGATTATGTAATCCATTATGTGCATTTCTCTCTGTAGGCGTTCACTACGGAGATGGTGATCGCAGTCAAATCTGTCAAATGACGGAGATCCCGGTCAAATCTGTCCCTGGGAAAAGTAACGTTTCGCCGAATTGAAAAAGGAACTACGTTTCGTTACCAAATTTTTACAGTAGTAGCGCGTTACACTACTTTTTACCCGAAAAAGTAGTTACGTTAATGTAACGCGTTACTTTGTAACGCGTTACAACACTGGTTGAAAATCACTATTATTTTTGAATTACCGTACATTATGTACAGCCTTAAATTTACATGTAATAAACTTTAGAAAGCTAATGTAAACTGACTCCAAAACTTTAGAAGTTTAGATATTAGAAATTAGACATGTTGTCTATACATAATACAGTTTTCAGTCGCTGTATTTACATTAACCACAATATTCCAGTCATATTCAGACTAGTCTTAATAAAAAAAAGTCTCATCTAACCATGTCATTTGGAAATAATGGGCAAAATCTGATTTAACTTGGATTTAAACTGCTTTTTGTAACTAAAAAATGATGCATTTCAAATATACTGATTAAATATTTGGTTCTTGTTTTCTGATATACACAAATGTACTGATTTAATGCAACTGACAACAATTAAGAAAAGTTCAATTCAAGTTTTAGAAGCTATACATACAAAAACAGTCAAAGACAAATTTTTGTCTTCATGCAATATTTTAGAGAAAAAGATTAGCAGAATTTGTGTTTTTTACAGTTCCAGTGTAATTGGTCACATGCTGTTAATTCATATTTATGACATTACTTTGCAGAAACAAATGAGTGGGTTTAGGCCGGTATCCTGTGATAGCAAAGAGCACATTTTCATTGACAAGGGTCTTTGAAGAGTTTCCTCCAGTCGTCTCTCTCCAGATTTCAGTCCGGTTGGGAATCCAGATGTGGGAGATCAGATATTTCCATCATGCTTGTGGGACACGTTTCAGTGCTGAATAATATTTAGGATTATGGGCGTCATGGAATTGTTTTCCCAAAGAAGATATGACAACCAAACAAAGAAACACTTTCTTACGTGTGTGGCGTTGAGTCTATAAAAACATCGATGTATAAATGCGAATACAAATCAGCTAAAGAACATCCAGAGACTGTCTGGATATGTTGTGGTAATATCAGGTGTAATGGGCGCCTTAGATGTTGTTGCTGTGTGTGATTTTGTCTTTCACAACTCGCATTTGTATTTATTTTAAATGAAAAGGACACTTTTATTTGTAAATATTCAGTTTATTTATTTGCAAGTTGTAAGTTCACTAATTACTAATAATTTGACTGCTAACTTTTGTACTAACGTTTCAAATGGAAAAAAATAAACAACGAAGAATTTCAGAACACATGCAGTTGTCTTTTTGTAAATAAGAAAATAAGAAAATATTTAGCTGAAAATAGTAAAAGTATGTAAAGTATGTGTAAAAATGGAAAAAATTGTATCTTGCAATTGTGAAAGGTGTAACCTCTAATTTAATTTTTTTATATATATATATATAATTAGTAGTTAATATATCTTGCATTTGAGGACAAAATTGCAAATGTATTTTATTTAGTTAATATTTATTTATTGCTTTATATCTCACAATTTAGACTTTTTCTCAGTATCCCGAGATAAAAAAAACTAAACATGAATCTTTGTAATCACTGAAATACACAGGCATCTTTGCAGACATATATTCTCTTCTTTACTGCTAAATATTGCCCTGTAAGGGCTAAATATTGCCCTTAAATTGCCCTGTAAAGGGACAAATAAAGATTTTACTACTACTAAATCACTGTGAGTATGTTGACATTATAAAGAAAGTATAAAGAAAGAAAGAAACAAAAACTTCGTAAAGTTTAATAAAAAAAGCAAAAAATTTAACAAAAAGCTGAATTTTTTTATGTTTTAGTTAAAGACTACATCTGGATAGGATTCAGAAAAATGATCAAAACATAGATGGATTAGATAGTCCATCAACACAACTCAAATTCCTACTGTTTTGATCAGGAGATTATGTCATCTTTCAGAAGATGCATAATAGCAGAAAGCTATATATTTTCGTCAATGGCGGAGAAAGAGTTAAGTATATCAGAGTATGTGTTCAGTATGTACTAAGTTCTTTGTTATATGTCTTATCTTTTGACCGATGCCGACTGTAATGTCCACACCAATAATGCGGTATGTCTTTTCGGTATGTTTGTCCTGAGGCTCGGGACAAGGGACTCTCGTTATGCTCAGCTCTTGGTGTTTTAGGGCTTTGTAATGGTGTTGGGGTCGCTTGTTTTTTGGTGTTTCCAGAATTTGATGGCTCTTTTTTGGATGTTTAGAAGGAGAGGGTATTGGCGTAATTCTGCCCTGCATTCGTTGTTTGGTGTTTTTCTTTGGACTGAGTATTCGTTTGCAGAAATCTAAATGTAGCGTTTCAATTGGATGTTTTTCCCAATTTAAGAAATCAAATTTTATAGAAAGACCCCACTGCCATATAAAACAATTGGTTCAACTAATTGATTTGTAAAGTTCGAGCCAGATTTGGATTGGGATGGCAATTTTAGTCAATCTTTTCATGGCATAAAAAGACCTTTGAGCTTTCTCTTTGAGTTCATTCACAGCCAAAGTAAAGTTACCAGTTGAAGATATTTTCATGCCGAGGTAAGTGTATGTTTGTGTTCTCGATGGTTCTGTGTGATAGTGTGAATGTGTGTGTTGGTCCCTGAGATCTGGAGTGGAACATCATTACTGTAGTTTTCTGGAGGTTGACGGTCAGGACTCACAGTAATCCTCCAGCAGATCCAGGCTGTCCTGAAGACCCTCTTTAGTGGACGACAGGAGAACCAGATCATCTGCGTAGAGAAGACACTTTCTCACAAGGGACTTTCACACCAGGTAGTTATAGGAACTCGCCACCAGGGTGGTTGCCCGAGAACTAATGGTTCCCGTAGGAACGTTTTCCTGCTTGCATTCGCACCACCAGTAGGAACTCTGAAGTGACGTAAGCATGACGTAAGCAAGCATTCTGCTATTTAAACAGACAGTGTTTCTAATCCTAAAGTTTTTTTTTTTTCAGTTTAGTTTTTTATCTTTTTTATTAATCTTCTACATACATGCACCACTTTTATTATGCAATAAGAAGCTATTTTTTTCTTTATCTTAATACATGGTTTTATTTAAAAAAAGAGCTTTACGCACAACCTTATCAGAGCGAATGATAATGACCTGTATTGTTATACATTTATGTAGTCTTGATTTGGGTGTGTACAGTGGCTTTATATTTAAAAGGGTTGTAAATCACGCCATAGTCAACTTTAATCAGGTAATTTCACAACAACAAAAATGTGGCTAATAAAAATGCTGTGTGGCTAGTAACTTTGGAAAACCACTAGCCACATTGGCTAGTGAGCAAAAAAGTTAATGTCAAGCCCAAGGTCACAGTGCTCACATTCTCCAAGTTTCATTAGTTTACGATCTGTCTAACAATCCTGTCTAATACTTCATTAGATGGAAGTATTATACATAGAAAGTAGACAGTAATGAAAAGTTATTAGCGTATGGCGTGTGGTTGATGTCCAGAAATGCATAATCATGTTTCTCTTGGTCTCCTCAAAGTTGCGTTAGATTTTCTCCTCAGCGTAAAGATTAAGAGCTTCATCTATCACTGTTTTCCATGTTCATAGAGTTAGTTTCTGGAGTAAATATATAGGCTATAATCTGTGTGCTTACACAGCCTTTTTAAAAATAAGGAAGTCTAAATGTCATTTCAACATTTTAGGCCGAAGACTGAGAAGTTTTGACCTTGAATATTGTGATTTCATCACAAAGCTTTTAAAATAAACATTTTAAAATAAACATTGCACAAACGTCATGCAACGATTGAGCCACAGTTCATCCTCTCTAAAGTAATGTTGGCCTGAATAAGTTAATCAAGCTGTTTATTAAAACAAGGGTTTATCAGGGATTTGCATGTAAAAAAAGAAATTATCAATTGTCTGTCTGAGAGAGAAAAAAACCACATACTGAGCAAAGCGACCACAAGTAGTGAGTAAAAGCTGAACTTCCGTCTTGAGACTGTTTATCTAGGGCATCAGAGTCTGTTCTCCACAATCTCACCACTTTTTCCTGTTCATTCACATGTGCTGAAGACAAAAGAGTTTTTACCTTTGACAACTGCACATAAAGTGTGTGTCAAATACAAGGATTTTCATCCATAATGAAGAAGTTCATCATTTTCTTCATCTGCGTACCTTTGGTTTACTCCGGTGAGAATCATTTCATAAAGTCATTTAAATGATAAATTCTCTGTCATGCAAGGCCTTCAGCTGCTTCCGTGTGTTGAACTCAGTGTTACATTGATTTTGTTATAATACTTTTTACTTTTTTTTTTCAGTCAACAGAAATGTTTTTAATAGTAGTTGTTGAACTGACAGAAAATCATGAGTTGTTTTTAATCTGATGTGTAAAATTTTCTCAAACATCTTTTATAATATCCAAGCTAATAGAAGTAGTTAACAGATTTAGGGCCCTATCATACACACGGCACAGTGCCGAGCAAGTGTGTTTTGCTAGTTTCAGCCTGACGCGATTTTCATTTTCACGTCCTATGCCACGTTGTTTAAATAGCAAATGCATTTGTGCCCATCTGTGCGCCCATGGACTGCTGGTCTGAGAATGAGTGTGTGTTCAGGCGCATTGTTGGCGCTTTGCTATTTTGAAGAAACTGAAATAGACTGAGCCATTGACCAACAAAAACCAAGTCAATGCTGAAGTATTCATTTATTTTTTGTTATTTAAAGAGCGTGTTAGTAATATGCGCCTATAGGTGGGTCCAACACGCGCATACACTCTGCTTATTACACCACAGGGACGCACAGAAGCACACAAACATGCCAAATATTAAAAATAAAAGGATTACAATGTTAAAGATATGGTGAATCCGGCTTGTCCCGTACATGGTCTGCTTGTGCTTTACCCTCGCAGACGAGAAAATCCGATTGCGCTCTGCAAATTTTTCCGACGCAAATATTCTTGTGTAAATAGCGAATCCGCCAAGGCGCGAGCACATCTGGGTTTTGAAGGGAATGGGAGATGAGACTCTGATTGGTTTATTGCACGTTACGCCCAACACACACCAATTACTCATTACGAGAATAGAGACGACCCTTTTAGACCATGCGCCGGGACCGTCCACCATTTTTCCCGTCGTTAAACTAGCAAAAGCAGATTCAGACACGGACTAACTGCTCTTGTGCTTTAGACCATGTGCTTAGATGGTTAAAATAGGGCCCAGGTCTGGATGATGGTGTCAAGTGGACATGAGAGAGAGAGGACACAACAATGTCAAATATGGGGAAAATAATGTGTTTTGAACATTCAAGCATGGAAACCTATTCTAGGAGAGACCAAAAACAAAATTAAGACTTTGTAAAATGTTATAATACGGCCTCTTTGTTATTCTTCTCAATATTTCCGTTTAGCGGCTAATGAATCGAAATGTCTCGCACATTCACAGATAGCTAATTTACGCATTTCAAAATAAGGTGGATACCGTGATCGGTAACACTTTATAATAACACGCTAATATTCATTAGTTAAGCATGAGTAAACAGTTAATTCATCATTCATAAAGCATTAATAGACATTAATAAGCAGTTTATAAATACAGCTATAAATGCTTTCTTCTTGATTTACAAGCATATCTATAATTTATTTAATAATTGTATTTTCATCCTTTATTTATGATCAATTTATTATTTCTAAATGATTAATTGCATTTTTTATAAACCAGTTATTTAAGAGTTTTCAGTGGTTCACAAGATTACTTAGAACGTGTAAGTAAATGATTAATAAACTATTTAAATGTACATTCATATATCTTATTATTCAGACATATAGTGATGGTTACTTAGTGTGTTAATAAATGCTTTATTAACATGTATTTAAGCTGTAATTCAGGGTTAATTCGGGTAGTTATAAAGCATTTAGTAGTGGTCAGATAACTATGTTTATGAGCTCATCTAAAGTGAGGACTATTCATGCCTTGTAAAGCATTTATAAAGGAGATTTAAAGGCTGTTAAATATTTCTATGTTCTGTATCACTGTGTTGTGTTTGTTACATTTTACTGTTTAGAAGATTGATGCGCCTTTAAATCTCCTTTATAAATGCTTTACAAGGCATGAATAGTCCTCACTTTAGATTAGCTCACAAAATAGTTAACTGACCACTACTAAATGCTTTATAACTACCTGTATTTACTACATTTACTTACACTTTCTAAGTGATCTTATGAATGACTGACAACTCTTAAATAACTGGTTTATAAATAATGCTATACTTCATTTAGAAATTATTAATTGATCATTAACAAAGTATGAAAATACAATTATTAAACGCATTATAGATATGCTTATAAATCAAGAAAAAAAGTGTTTATAGCTGTATTTATAAACTGCTTATTAATGTCTATTAATGCTTTATAAATGATGAATTTAACTGTTTACTCATGCTTAACAAATGATTAATAGCATGCAGTTATTATAAAGTGTTACCAAGTGATCATGTTGATCATGTCGAGATTCATTTCATGCTACCTTTATGGTTTTTTGTAGCATGAACATTTCGAATATATATATAGAAAAGCTTCCTCTAAACGTCCGTATTGAGAGTTTATCTAGAGCATCAGTGACGTCAGTTCTGCACAGTCTGCATCTTCCTTTAGAAACCGCTTCTTCCTGTTGATTCACATGTGGTGAAGACTAAAGTGTTTACAGCGCTCTTCGACAACTGCACTTAGAGAAGTGTGTCAAATACAAGGATTTTCATCCAAAATGAAGTTCATCATCCTCTTCATCTGCATACCTTTGGTTTACTCAAGTGAGTTTCATTTCATAAATTCGTTTAAATGATGAATTCAACGAGGCCTTCAGCTACTTCTGTGTATTGAACTCTGTGCTACTCCAGTTTTATTATTATTTTCAAATGGCTTTTATTTTTATATTTTTAGTTTATATAATCATGCTAATTTAAGTGATTTTTTTTAGTAATTAAATTTATGTGCTGTTTTTTTATTTTAAATATTGCTATTCAGGTTTAATTTATTTTTATTTCAGTTTTATTTTTAGTTAGTTTTATTCCTATTTTGAAATAGCTTTTATTTTTACATTCATAGTTTATATTTTAATGTAAATTTTAGTTTAGTTTTTTAGCAATTTTGTTATGTGCTTTTGTTATTTTATTATTTATATATATATTGCTATTTCGGTTTAATTCATTTTCATTTCAGTATTTATTTTTTTAATTCAGTTACTATTTGTAGTGCTTCAATTTGAACTTATTTCCAATTATTGCTAAGGCAACATTTCTAATTTGATAGTTTTTCAACTAATATTTACCCTATTTATTATTAATTTTATTTGATTTCATCTTTATTTCAGTTAAAATAAATGTTTTTAATAGTTTCAGTTGTTGAACTGACAGAAAATCATGAGATGTTTATAATCTGATTCAGTGCTTGCCGTTTCTGTTGTGAGTTGAAAAGCAGTTCCCTATCAGTCGGTTACCATGACGTATGTCGTGAACGACAAATAGGAATCTCTCTAGAGAGGCCAATCTACTTCGAGTGAAACTAAACAAGCCAATGCACATTGCGTGCAATCATTTGCATCAGCTGTGCAGCCTCGCAGCGCGGGTATTTAACGCAGCTGGTGCGATTGCACACTAGTTTTTTGCTTTGGAGCCAAGCACTTCGTATGCTGAACCTACACAGAGTGAAGTCTGCAAGCCTCTTCTGGACCTCTCCACTTTGGTGCAGGCGTGATAGCACAGCAGCGTGAGCGGTCTTCTCTTCTCTCTTTTTTGTTTTTTTGTTTAAAAACTGAGCAAAACAAAAAAGCTGTTTTCACAGCTGGTAAGGTGCGCGGTGAGAGCGCTCAATAGCCATTTTCATGGCTGGTAAGACCAACGCACAGACAGGTACACATTCCTGTCCGTGTTTGCGGTGACCGTTCCCTAGCTAAGGTATACACGTGTATCCCGCCAGTGGAGCGGGCCGTTGCTATACGACAAGCTCCGGTTCCTCAACTCCCCCGTGTCCCAGACCGGCTTCTTCAGCGACGCGGTCGAGAACTTCGCCTAGCAGTTCTCTGCTGTACAGAAGCAGACTGAGGCCATCAGACACATGCTGCCTCCACCCCACCGCCCGCGGCTCCTCAGTCTGCTCGTCGCTGGGGGCGTCCTCCTGGGTCTGCGGTCGCTTCAAGCCATGTATGTCCCCGGCGTGCTCAACCGTGTGTCAGACGAGCTATCACGAGCTGTGCTATCGGGAGAATGGCGACTCCACCCCCAGGCAGTTCAGCTGATCTGGAGAGAGTTCTGAGAGACTCAGGTAGACATGTTTGCCGCCTCAGAGACCTCCCACTGCCAGCTGTTTTACTCCCTGACCGAGGGAACACTCGGCACGGGCAAATATGCGTTTTCCCCAGTGAGCCTACTTGCGCAGACACTGTGCAAAGTCAGGGAGGAGGTCCTTCAGGTGGCTCCCTATTGGCCCACCCGGACTTGGTTCCCAGAACTCATGCTCCTCGCAACAGTCCCTCCCTGGCCCATTCCTCTGAGGAAGGAGCTTCTGACTCAGAGACGGGGCACCCGCGTCCAGACCTCTGGAAACTCCATGTCTGGTCCCTGGACGGGACGCGGAGGTTCTAGGTGACTTGCCTCCAGAGGTACTTAACACCATCACTTCAGCACGGGCGCCGTCCACGAGACGTGTCTACGCCCTGAAGTGGAACCTGTTCGTCGATTGGTGTTCTTCTCGCCGAGAAGACCCCCGAAGATGTCCGATAGGGTCTGTGCTTTCCTTCTTGCAGCAAGGGTTGGAGCGAAGGCTGTGTCCCTCCACCCTCAAAGCTGTAAGGATTCAGGGCGGATCTAATCCGTGGGGAATTTGCATATCATAATTAATAATTGGTAATTAATAATTATTCATACATGTTTGGATTAGATCAGTCTTACATGTTAATAAATCTCCCGATAAGGGAGGATCTGTCATTCTACCTGCATGCGTGCATGTGAATCCCTGAAATTAACCACAAGTTGATTGCAGTTAATTACACGGACCATGTTTCACAAACAGGTAAAATGAATTAGCTCAATTGTCAGGATAATATTTGTGGGATCCACAATATCATCTTACTTTATAGGATTTCAGGAAACGCAATTCTCTGGCCAGAAGAATTGGGTTTCCCGCCCTATCAACACATACTCTTTAAAGTATCTTTAATTTGTAAAGCTTGTAGCATAAGTTAGACCTTTGGCACTTAAGGGACTTGAAATTGAGCAAAGAGACAGCACATCAATCAAAATGAATATAATGGATTTAATAAAGGCATGTCTACTTATATATTTACTACAGTACAGTAATATATATATATTTACAAACAAAAAAGACATAAACAACACAATAAGACATCAATGAACGAGAAAGTGTGTGAGATATAGAGATATGGATAAATTACACGCGTGAGAGCGAGTAAGAGAGAGAGAGAGAGAGAGGGTTACGTTCACCTAGACAGTCAACTTTCCTGAAACAACACGAAAACACATTCTTAATGCTCTGAAAACAGGGTAACCCAAATTTACTTGCATGTGGAAGGGTTCTCTCATGTGTTGCTGCGTTCCTTGAGCGGCCTGCATGGTCTAGCCGCGTTTTGGACGGCAGATCTTTTGTTCTCCGTGCGCGTGCGGCCCGCATGGTTTAGCTGCGTGCGTGAGCTGAATCCTTGGTTCCGTGGAGTCACGTGATGCGGCGCGAGTCTTTGAACAGCAGTCGGAAGTCTTTTAGGTCACGTTACTAACGGAAATAGTTCGGCTCAGGTCATTTCACTTCGTGGAAGTGAAACAAGTTGAGTACAGAAAACAGATCTTAGGCTAGAAAGTAAAGAAAAGATCCAGGATAGGATCTGATCCCCTGAGGGGACATCCGCGTGAATTACATGTTTCTGACGCGCTGGAAAGTTCAAGAGAGAGTTGGGCGGAGCCGCGCTCCTACATTTATCACCTCGGAGAAATCCATCCCCTTCCTGTTCACTGGGCCAATCGGGGAATGGATGTTGCACGCGGGAACCCTTGGTTTATTGTCCTTTGTTTGGGAGAACGTGCCCTCTCGTGGTACAGGGGTGTGTTCCAGGAGGGTGTATAGTTTAACAGTTTGAATCTTCAATGGCGGTAAAACCTATTAAAAATACACTTTACTTTATATCTCTGTGCATATTCAGATAGCCCGTTCCATGAGCATTTTAGAGGTGTCAAACACATCAAATGAAAGTCAAAGGAAAAATACAGAGGTATTTAATATGTATAAAGAAGGTATTTCTAATGTCTATTTATGCCGTGGCCAAACAAAGATATTTCACTGTGACATGGGGAAAAACACATATACATTTAACAAAATATATTCAATGGTTTTTATGTCTTTACCCATCAGAAATGTCCGTCTCTTTGTTCAGAGACATTCTGCGACATTCCGATGGGTTATAAAGTCTCATAACAGGAGCTTCACTCGTGTGTTGGGGGAGGGAAGGGCTCGCGTGTGTGTGTGTGTGTGTTACATTCAGTCTTTTTGGGTCTTTAGCAGGATGTATTTAGTTATTCAGATTCACCCTTTTAGCCCAGTCCTTACAAAGCATTACCATTGTAAAACAATGTTCGATCTCAAATCAGTTTCACAGAATTCATTTTGAGTGTTTTTCCAAAGATAACTAAAATACAAAAATATCTGTGGAAAAGTATTGATTTGAGATTAAAAAGAAAAAGTGAATGACTCGAACAGTAATTTGAGTTATGAAATTGTATGTTGCATTTGAGAGCTTCATGTCTTTGTGTTGTTTGTTCAGAGTTACACAGCTTCATCACCACATACACTGAAATAAATGGACAGACGACTGCAGGAATCCCAGAGTTTTCTGCTGTAACGACACTGGATGGACAACAGATCGATTATTATGACAGTGTCATAATGACGCTGATTCCCAGACAGGACTGGATGAAGGAGTTTGCATCTACAGAACTGTGGAAGAAATACATTGAGATCAGAGAACATGTACAGCAGATCTACAAAATCAACATTCATGTTCTAATGCAGCGATTCAATCAGTCAGACGGTGAGAGAAAATGCTTTATACTACATATTTAAATGTGAAAGATTGCTTTGTATGTTAAAAAAGAGCAGATTTTATGGACTCCCTTTTTTCAGGAGTTCATGCGTATCAGAGGATGTATGGCTGTGATTGGGATGATGAGACTGGAGAATCACATGGGTTTGATCAGTACGGTTATGATGGAGAGGATTTCATCACACTGGACCTGAAGGAGAACAGATACATCACACCTGTACAACAGGGAATACCCACAGTGCAGAAGTGGAATAATGACATAAAGCTGCTTACATCTTTGAAACAATACTATAATCATGATTGTGTTCACTGGCTGAAGGAGCTCTTGAAGTTCTGGAAAGAGGCTAACAGGATAACAGGTACCTTGTTGTTTAGAAATTTAATTTGTTTACCAAGTAGATCATACTGTATATATATATATATATATATATATATATATATATATATACAGGTGAAACTATAAAAAAATAGAATATCGTGCAACAGTTCATGTATTTCAGTGTAATTCAAATTAAAAGGTTGAAACTAATATATTTAGTATATATAACTATATACATATGCATGATTATATTTTCAGAGGGCTGACATTTCTGTATTTAAAATCCTTTTTTTATTGATTTCATGTAATATTCGAATTTCCTGAGATTTTGAATTGGGGCTTTTCATAAGCTGTAAGCCATAATCATCAAAATTATAACTTTTGCACAATATTCAAATTTTTCGAGTTTCACCTGTATATATATACACTCACCTAAAGGATTATTAGGAACACCATACTAATACTGTGTTTGACCCCCTTTCGCCTTCAGAACTTCCTTAATTCTACGTGGCATTGATTCAACAAGGTGCTGAACGCATTCTTTAGAAATGTTGGCCCATATTGATAGGATAGCATCTTGCAGTTGATGGAGATTTGTGGGATGCACATCCAGGGCACGAAGCTCCCGTTCCACCACATCCCAAAGATGCTCTATTGGGTTGAGATCTGGTGACTGTGGGGGCCATTTTAGTACAGTGAACTCATTGTCATGTTCAAGAAACCAATTTGAAATGATTCGAGCTTTGTGACATGGTGCATTATCCTGCTGGAAGTAGCCATCAGAGGATGGGTACATGGTGGCCATAAAGGGATGGACATGGTCAGAAACAATGCTCAGGTAGGACGTGGCATTTAAACGATGCCCAATTGGCACTAAGGGGCCTAAAGTGTGCCAAGAAAACATCCCCCACACCATTACACCACCACCACCAGCCTGCACAGTGGTAACAAGGCATGATGGATCCATGTTCTCATTCTGTTTACGCCAAATTCTGACTCTACCATCTGAATGTCTCAACAGAAATCGAGACTCATCAGACCAGGCAACATTTTTACAGTCTTCAACTGTCCAATTTTGGTGAGCTCTTGCAAATTGTAGCCTCTTTTTCCTATTTGTAGTGGAGATGAGTGGTACCCGGTGGGGTCTTCTGCTGTTGTAGTCCATCCGCCTCAAGGTTGTGTGTGTTGTGGCTTCAGGAATGCTTTGCTGCATACCTCGGTTGTAACGAGTGGTTATTTCAGTCAAAGTTGCTCTTCTATCGGCTTGAATCAGTCGGCCCATTCTCCTCTGACCTCTAGCATCAACAAGGCATTTTCGCCCACAGGACTGCCGCATACTGGATGTTTTTCCCTTTTCACACCATTCTTTGTACACCCTAGAAATGGTTGTGCGTGAAAATCCCAGTAACTGAGCAGATTGTGAAATACTCAGACCGGCCCGTCTGGCACCAACAACCATGCCACGCTCAAAATTGCTTAAATCACCTTTCTTTCCCATTCTGACATTCAGTTTGGAGTTCAGGAGATTGTCTTGACCAGGACCACACCCCTAAATGCATTGAAGCAACTGCCATGTGATTGGTTGATTAGATAATTGCATTAATGCGAAATTGAACAGGTGTTCCTAATAATCCTTTAGGTGAGTGTATACATGTATAGGGATGCACCAATACGGTTTATCTGCATTATCAAATAATTTATTGAAAATGGATAGGATCCATTTTTTTACGGAGAAACATGAGATGGGAGGAAACACATATGCTCTTGCGCTCTCTCACAAAACTTTTGCATCTTTTTATATCGCTCAATATCGGCGGCTGATACATCGGCGCATCTCTAATAATGAGTCACTGTTTGTATCTGTTTTATCTCATTGGCTTCATTAAACCAAATATACTTGTATTCATACATGTATATGATCTGAAGTATTAAACTTTTTTCTCACATTTTTCTCAATTTTTTCAGCTCCTGAAGTGTTTCTGTTACAGAAGAATCTCTCTTCTCCAGTAGAGTGTCATGCCACAGGTTTCTACCCATCAGGAGTGACACTTACCTGGTTCAGAAATGGACAGGAGCACGATGAGGATGTGGATCTTGGAGATCTTCTGCCAAATGAGGACGGGACCTTCCAGAAGACAACTAGCCTTCATGTTTCTCCATACGAATGGGAGAACAACCAGTTCACTTGTGTGGTGGAGCACCAGGGAGAAATCATCCAGAAGACTGACGAAGAGATCAAGAGTTACTATTGTAAGTTGTTAATACTGCGGTAGATTGTTTTTATGGTTATGCCTCTTCATTTCATAGTTTTCACCTGATATCACACTCAGATCTGCCCACCTGGTGGACAACACAAGGCTTTCCTTCCACCGCCAGTCATTTTACCAAGTATGTACCAAGATCTAATGTAGGAAAACAGCAATATTTAAAATTACATTCAATATACACATTGTTTATGATGCATATCATGTGAGCAGATGAACCCAGAATACAAATTCAATGCAACGCTTGAATGTTTCTTAAGTATTTTTCCATAGAAAACCATGATAGAGAAAACCATTGAGTGTGTTTCTGCTCGCTTGTATATAGTATACATCAATAAGATGAATATATAAAATAAGATCAAATACTGAATCTTTAAATATCACTGTTTTAGTACATTAAGGCACTTTATTTCAATATTGGAAGTAGTTTAATATATTCATATTTTCCGCATTTGGCGTTTCAGAACGTCCAGCTGTTTTAGTGATTACTAAAGTTTTTCTCGATTGTTTACACACATTTTCTGAAAGCATGCCTCATACTCTCAGAAGTCTACACACAAATAAAAAAACACACACACAATGGGCAAAACGCCTCAATTCTCCTGCAAAATGAAACTTTACATTCAAAACAAAGTTATTTCTTCTCACAATGGTATTTTGTTTTCAAATAACACACACAAACCATCATATGAATAGACATTTATAAGAACCAGTTGAACACTGATGTGCTCAATGTAAAACACTATGATGAATGGAAAACACTTCTTCTCCATTCATCATAATGACTTAGGCCTTTTTTTGTTCAGTGTTACACTTACTACAGACAGTACATACATAAGTGAGTTGTAAAATATTTGAGAATATTGTTTTTATACTCAGAACACGCAAATACACAGTTACAAATATATTTTATTTTTCCCTCAAAAACAATGTACAGAGTGTACATCCCGAACAACACAAAGTTGCACATACAGTGGTCTACATACAAAACAACAGAAAAATTTACTGTATACTGTTACAGTAAAAAAAAAAAAAAAACTATGCTGCATCCTCTCTTCTGTTTCGGTCTCTTATGCTAAAGCTCTGATTGCTAATTGTAAAACTGTGTGACAGGTGTTTGCCCATGTGACGAGTCAGTGTGCACATCTGAATGGCAGTGTGTTCCTTGTGAAAGAGATTTTCTGCATGAAAATTGTGCCAAATGCAGATAATTGTGTGTAGTGTTTTGAAAAAAGTGTGTTTTAGAACTGCAATCTGGTTGCTGCACGAGTTACATGTTGTGGTCATTGTGTCTCAAGTACCAGTATTTGTGTGTAAACAATTGAGAAAAACTGTAAAATACTGCAGCACGTGTTGTATATTATGGAAGCTTGTTTCCGCCACAGAATGAAAAATACAAAGGTAATTGCGACTTTTTTTCTCACAATTGCGTTTACATCTCGCAATTCTGACTTTATTTCTCAGAATTGTGAGTTATAAAGTCAGAATTGCAAGATATAAAGTCAGAATTGTGAGATATAAAGTCAGAATTGTGAGATATAAAGTCAGAATTGCGTGATTTAAAATCGCAATTGCGTGTTATAAAGTCAGAATTGTGAGATATAAAGTCAGAATTGTGAGATATAAAGTCAGAATTGTGAGATATAAAGTCAGAATTGTGAGATATAAAGTCAGAATTGCGAGATATAAAGTCAGAATTTATTGATACAAAGTCGCAATTGCGTGTTATAAAGTCAGAATTGCGAGATATAAAGTCAGAATTTATTGATACAAAGTCGCAATTGCGTGTTATAAAGTCAGAATTGCGAGATATAAAGTCAGAATTTATTGATATAAAGTCGCAATTGCGTGTTATAAAGTCAGAATTGCGAGATATAAAGTCAGAATTTATTGATATAAAGTCGCAATTGCAGGTTATAAAGTCAGAATTGCGTGATACAAAGTCGCAATTGCAGGTTATAAAGTCAGAATTGCGAGATATAAACTATTCTGAGGGGAAAAAAGTTAGTCTTTTCCCCCCCTTAGAATTGGCCTGATATATTCTGTCTTTTTTTCTCGCAATTGCGACTTTATTTCTCATAATTGCGACTTTATTTCTCACAATTCTGACTTTATATCTCGCAATTGCGACTTTATATCTTGCAATTGTGAGATAAAAAGTCGCAATTATTATTATTTTTTTTTTTATTCAGTGGCGGAAACAAGCTTCCATAGTATATGGATGACAAGTGCACAAAACTTGCATTTTGTCGACATAATTTAGTTTTTCTTTTCTTTTTTGATGGAAAATGGACAGGCCTGTACTGCAGCCCTATTATTGTTTTGCCCTCCAGCATATTTCTAGTCTTCCAAAATCAGTTTTGTTTGAGGGACAGACCAAAATGTAAGTTGTTATTCATTGCAGTGCACTATAAGCAAACAGGTTTGCTCTCGTCTACTGGATATAATGAGCCGACATTGGTGGATTAACTTAAACCCATTTCAGTTACTGTAGGTGCCCCGGCAACATTCGTAACTTTCATTTATTTTGTTTTTTAATTTGATATTTATATTTTATTTGATTTAAGCTTTATTACAATTAACACTTTTTTTTATCTTGTTAAGGACCTACCCAAGCATACACGTCCTTCTGTGTGTGATGGGAGTATTCATATTTGCACTGTAGTCCGTATGAAGTAAGTAAGTATATGTTTACATGTCTTTTTCTGATCTTTCTCTGAACTGCTCTTATTTCTCATTCTAGTGGCTTCATCAGTTGTAGGATGTGGGGAATGTACGGAGCCCCTAAAGGGACATGGTGATGGGAAATCATATGGGAGGAAAAATTAGATGTCAATGCTTTTGCCTTCTCTCCAAAATGTTGGGGAGTTTCTCTGGGGATCACAAAAGTTTTACATGAGAACCCAAAGTTTCTCTGGGCAAAGGAAAAAGTTTTACAAGTGAACCCAATGTTTCTCTGGGGAACACAAAACTTGTGAGCGAATGCAACGTTTCTTTGCAATAATTTTGTGAGAGAACGCAAAATCATTGAAATATTTTTTTTTTTCATCACAATGTCCCTTTGGGGCTCCGTAGGACTCCTGGCCAATGACACAAGCATTCAAAAGTCTGGATTTACAGAGACATGTTAATGCATTTGTTATAAATTCCAGTAAGGTGGAAATAAATATAGCCAACGCTTCACTGTTGAATATATACACACACGTGCTTCAATGCAACTGACAATAGTTAACGAAAGTTTTTTAAAAGTTATATTTTCCAAAAATGGTCATAGCCCAAAGTTTGTCTTCAAGCAACATTTTAGATAAAGAGATTGGCAGAACTTGCTGTTTTTACCATTTCAGTGTATAATTCCATGAATTGGGGATTTAGAATTGGAATTATGGCTGTTTCAGTGGCCATAAAAAAATCATGTAATCAAAAATGTCCTCATTTAATCTTTATGACATTACTTTGCAGAAACTAAAGTTTGAGCAGACGATCTGTCAAAATGAAAAGCAGAGCTAATGTGACAAATCTTTGAAGAGTTTCCTCTAATCGTCTGCACGTTCTCCAGATTTCAGTCTTCAGCATGTGAGAGAGCAGAAGATTTCCAGCATGCTTGTGGGACCAAAACATGTTTTTATTTTAGATGAAAAGGTCCTGTAAATATACATTTTAAATATTTTTTTTTCAAGTTGTAACTTCACTAATATTTTTTTTCCAAGTTGTAACCCCTGATTTCAAGCAGTTTAAAGGCTTTTATGATTTTAAATGTTTAAACATTAAAAAAAAATTAAAGAACACTTGCCGTTCTCTTTTTTTCAATAACAGACGACAATATAAAGCTGACAAATTTAAAAATAAGCATGTTTTAAATTATATAATAATAATAATTTAAATTATTGGTGCAACATCAGGTAAATTTGTAAATTTAAATGGTGTTTTGTAAAGAATGTGTGAGAAACATTCATTTTAATATAATTAGCAATATAACATTCCTTTTAATATATTTTTGTGCCTAAAATCTCACAATTTATGTTCTGAAGACTGGAGTAATGATGCTGAAAATAACTGTTAAACATAACTGTTTTCAACATTGATATGATAATAATGAGAAATGTTTCTTGAGCATCAAATCATCATATTAGAGTGATTTCTGAAGGATCGTGTGACACTGAAGACTGGAGTAATGATGCTGAAAATCAGCCTCTATTAAAACTCTATTAAAACTTTCTGAACTCAGTCAGAAAAAAAATTAGAACAGTATAGGTGTTTATTATTTAATATAGCACAAAATGAGGGAAGAAAGATACAAAATGTACAAACAGGATTAAACAAAATGTGAATACATGTTGATTGTTCACAGGTTGTCATACATTTTTATGCTTGTCTGTTAAACCACAAGATCAACAAGTACTTTTCAATGAGAAATCATCAGACTGAGGAAACTTAAACTGATCATCGACTCCAGAACACAGAAAGAAATATATAGGCCTACATATATTTCCACAGGAAACAAGGCACATAGTAATACACATATAATTACACATATACAATATGTGCATAAACATCTGATTGAGAAAATGTACTGTGATAAAAATGGTACAAATGGCACTGCTCATATCTTAATAACATATTACTTGTTATTTAGAGGCAAATAAAAATAAAAAATAAAAATTGTCGTTAATCAATATTAAATATTTTAATCTGCTGACAGTCCTAAAAATAATAGTTTTTTAGTAAAGATTTGTTGGACTTTGTTTTCTGCAGAATGGGAATTTTAGTTCATATATAGCCTAACAATAAAAAAGCACATCAAGTAATACCATTAAGACAATTATCATTAAGAAAATATGTAAACATTTTCTCATTTAGCAAAATTCAAAGCAAAAAATGAGGAAAAAAAAACAGAAGAAGCTGTTCCAGCATTGACGAACGGTTCTAAGAACGGAGAGAAATGCTTACGGTTGTATTTCCACTTGAGATTGGTTCAGTAGAACATGTGAAGTGACGTCGCCACTCAGGATTGGTTACTTGTCTGGCTACAGTTTCTCTGTAACATGGCCATTGAGCGAAGTAAACACAACCATACTCCGCGGTCGCTATTTACATCTCATAACGTCTGTAAACTCTTGCATTACCAACGACTGACGCATTGTATATTTGTAAAGAGCTCCGTTATAAGCAACACCCTGGAAAATGAAACCATGGCACGGAATTGAACGGTTAAGCAAGATTAGAGATGGAAGAAATGTAAAAGTATAAAGAAGATTATTTTAAGGATGTGTAGTTGAATGCTGACGGAAAAGAGTCTTTAAGGGTCTTTAGATGTTTCTTGGACTTTATAAAAGAACTCAGTTGTCAGGAAGGGTTGGGAAGATCCGTCCACCGGTGAGGAACTGTGAAAAGGAAGGTGCTGGAAATTGATCATGTTTATCTCTGAGAAGGAATCATGAGGAGCCGCATAACTGACTTCTGGAGGGGGTGTACTTTCATAAGAGCGAGTGGAGAGAAGAGAGTCCTGAGAGTCCTGACCCGGTGCATGTTTAGTTTTGAAATAGATGATCCTCTTCTTGCTGTCTGTGAAGAGAGATAAACAGAGGGGTGTCATGCTGTAATGAAATTCAAAGAACATTATCAAAGACACCGACATAATTCTTATAGGTTGATCATTTTAGAGAATAAAAACATAAAACAGCAACAGGTTCACATTCACTGCACTCTTCTTCATTGTATCGCCACACACAGAAACACATGTAAAACATTTGCACTTATGATGGGAATTATATCTCACAACAGGTCATTAGTACTTACAAGCTTTGAGTTTCTTCCAGTGTTTCCTAAGTACACACAGTCCAATCAGTCCAACAATAACTGTGATGATGACTAGAGCCGGATATATGATATATGAAGCATCTGATGCAGATCCTAGAGCACACAGAGAAAAATAAACACAATATACAATGAATATTGCAGAAAAAAAAAAGAACAATAACAAAACAAACAAACAAACCTAAAAACTAAAAAAGTAAATTCATGTGTTTGGCCTCTAAAATAAGTAAAATGTACAGTTAGAAAAATTAACCAGGTTTCTTACTGCTCCTCTTGGTCTTATTCACAGTCATACTCTTCTGGATTGTCTCAGTCAAACTCTTGTGCTCGACCACACAGCTGTACTGATCCTCATGAATGTCAGGATTGACATAGAGGGTAAGTCTCCTCTGGAAGGTCCCGTCCCCATTTGGTAGTGTGTCTCCAAACACCAAGTTCCTAGAATCGCTCAGAGCTTTTCCATTCTTTCTCCATGAGATGCTTGTGTTTCTGAAGAGAAAGCCTGTGGCGTGACATGTATAATAGTCTGGGTTCTTCTGCAGCAGAGACACTTCAGGAGGATCTAGAAGTAAACACAGAACAGGGAACAAAACTGAGAACAGAGAAAGAAACGCATGCACTTTCTACTTATCACAGTTTAACAATCTCTAAAGTTGACCTGCATAGATTTATCAAGCTGTCTGTTAAAACATGGTTTGTCTGGATCTGCACATGCAAGAAAGAAATAATCAGTTGGTAACTCTGATACTGTACCTGTAGCTTTAGACACATGCAAGAACTCCTTCAGCCAGTAAACACACACACGATCGTAGTATTCTTTCAGATATCTAAGTTGTGTTCTGTCATTATTCCACTTCATGACTGTAGGATGGGCCTGTGGTACAGACGCAGTGTATCTGTTCTCCTTCAGGTCCAGTGAGATGAAATCCTCTCCATCATAACCGTACTGATCAAACCCATGTGAATCTCCAGTCTCATCATCCCAATCACAGCCATACATCCTCTGATACGTATGAAGACCTAAAGAAGAAAGAGTGGAATGCTGTTCTTTGTTTTTTTAATGTTCAAACTAATCCTTTGTTGTTTATACATGTAGTATAAGAAAGGGATGATGTACATATGAACCCTTCAGAGTGATACAAGACTCCTCTTGATCACCCTGTCGGGGTTTATTCTGCGATAACAACTGACTGGATATACACTATCCTCCTTATTACCAGAGGTTGAACGACTTCAGATTTTTTTAAGTCGACATTTATGCGATGAAAGTCGAGTCAGTTCCTACAGTTCCTAGCAAGCAGCTTTGAGCCTAGACTAACGAACAAGATGAACATTTAAGGGATATTATAATCATATCACTTATTACATATCTTCTCACCACATAAATAACAAATACATGAAAATCATTATTATTATCTTATAATCCATGACCAATCAACAAGATGAAGACTTGAACACTATTAGCATAATCCTCTGGTTTCATTTTACAGTAACTATAGTCGATAACTGAGGCTGTTTGAATGAAACGAGAGCGAGCACGTCTATCCGCATCACAAATACCTGGATGAGCGACTTATTATCTGGGTAATTATCTTGAATAACAGACCTCAGAATGTCACGACTGACCAATCAGAATCAAGCATTTTTGACAGCCGCGTAATAAAGCATTTTAACTCACCGTGTGACTGAGTGAATGTTTCCATTAGAACATCAATGTTGATTTTGTAGATCTGCTGTTGTTTTTCTCTGATATCAATGTATTCCTTCCACGTGTGTGTAGAAGCAAACTTCTTCATCCAGTCTTGTTTGAGAATCAGCTTCTTTATGTTACTGTCATAATAATCGATCTGATGATCATCCAGTGTCGTTACAGCAGAAAACTCTGGAGTTCCTGCAGCCGTCTGTCCGTTTATTTCAGTGTATGTGGTCATAAACCTGTGTAACTCTGAAAAAAACATTGAACACACAATCAACATCACAAAAACACCACCACAAAGCTCCCAAACACTGTTCAACACCACATACAGTGTCATAAATCAAATTACTATTTGACACCAACTTTCGACATTAAAATTCGTATTTTTTTTAATAGAATATTGCAGTGTCGCGAGACTGGAGACGAGGACTGAGGAAACGAGCGGCTGAAGGCCTGAATCTGACTAAAGCGTTTGCCAAGAAGACGCCATTCTCAAACTCACTCACATTCACAGCACTGGAGAAACAGCTCGGTAACTATTGTAACCCTCGTTCCCTGAAGGAGGGAACGGGAGACGTAACGTCGACGTGACAACGTAATTGGGATCGCCTTGAGAGACCAATCTACTTCGAGAGTATTAAAACGAGTCAATGCATATTGGCATGCGATAATTGCATCAGCTGCTCTGCTTGCAGCGCGAGCATATAACGAGCAGCAGGTGCGTCGCATATTGTTTTACACTTCTGAGCCGAGACGTTTTCGGCCGTACAGCGTTGGTCAGCAACCTTCAGGGAACGAGGGTTACAATAGTAACCGAGACGTTCCCTTTCAGTCGCTCACATTCGATGTAACGTCGACGTGACGACGTAACTGGGATCCCATTGAAAACGCCACAGTTGCTGCCACATCCAGGGGCACATGACTGGGGCGGAAGAGGCCTGCGTAGAGGGAGTTCGAACTGCTGTTTCTTTATAACCCACACAGTGGAACTCTTGGATAACACTGGGAAAGTGTGCCTTTCCAGGGGAGAGGGACGCTACGGAAGCCACATCCTGCCCGAAGGGAGGTAACATGTGGAGATACACATATGGACTGGCTGGAAGGGGCAGTGCAACATATGGAATGTCACTGGGGTGGCTCCAGCCTGAGAAGGGGGAGGCTAAACCGGACCGTGACGGCAGCACGGACTCTGCCAAGGGAAAGACTCGGGCTCACCGCAGGGAGCTGGTCGTGGAAGAATACGCATATGGGATCGCCGCATATGTAACCCAGCCTAGCACAAGTTACACAAGCATACGAGCACTAGGCCTGGCGTCAGACGCTCCGCAACGTCTGACTGCCGAAGGGGTGCGGAGGAACTCTACAGGGTTCGCCTAAGTGGGCCTAAGTTCGTCTCAAGGCGATCCCAATTATGTCGTCACGTCGACATTACGTCGAACGTGAGCGACTGAAAGGGAACTGTAGTTATGAAAAGTCACCATAAAAGCAAAAAAGCAAACCTTTATTTTTATAATATTCAAGTTTTTTATATTTTTCATAACTTATCATTATTATTTTGTTAAATTCATGTGGAACCTGGAATCAAAATAACAGCGACATCTTTTCTCTGATGACGAGGGCGGGGGAACCTGTCACTCACATATAGCAATAGCAAACCACAACCTTCTAATTAATTATTTAATTAGAAGGTTGGATCAGCACGCATTGTTCAACTGATAGAGTTAACAGTGCCATGGGAGGATGCGGTAGATGAGGCATATGAGAGGAAGAAACTGCGGTATGCTCATCTGGCCACTGAAGCAGAACAGCGAGGATGGGGAGTCCAGGTTTATCCAGTGGAAGTGGGTTGTCGAGGTTTTGTGGCACACTCTACAACCCGGTTCCCCAGAGACGTCGGATTCAGTGGCCAAGAGTTGCGTCGGACAGTAAAGAACTTATCTGAAGCAGCGGAAAGGAGCAGCAACTGGCTGTGGTTGAGACGGAAAGATTCTAGCTGGCTGTGTGCAGGCCGCCACGCTACGGTTTCGTAGAACTCTTGAAAACTCGAGTCTGTTGGTTTATTTGTATAGGTTGTATAGTATTTACAGTTATTACGTTCCGGTGTATATTGCGTGAATGAGGGGTGGTTGGGCAGATATTGTGTTTTGCGGTAGGTGGTATGCCATACGGAACCGTTGTCCACTGAAACTGCATATTAACGCACCAGTGGGGCTCGACAGCCTTAGTCAAACGGGTTGGCGCGTATGGTCGGGTTGCGGAGAGATTGTGAGATAGTGGTTAGGTCTCAGCAGCAGGAGGGATGTAGAGGTCAGTAAGCTGGGCTGAGTTGAGTGGGGGACGGAGGGGGGTGACTCTGGGACGCCAGAGTCACTGTCGAGCCCTCTTGAGGTGTCGTGGGCTAGTCGACGAAACACTGAGGACGGAAGGTGCCCACTTGAAGACCCTAGAGATGTCCCCTACTCGGCTCAATCCAGACAGTTGTGGTGCTGGTCCACTAGGGAGACCACACTGTAGTTGCTGCCATTGTGTGTGCTGACGCACCAAGTACACTGCAGTCGTTAACGCCGGACAGAAGGGGAGCCATACCACCATATGGAAAGAAGTGTAAATGGATGGAGAAGCATAGTTTACTGTAAAGCTACGTCTAAGTGTTGCTTATCTTGGCGAAAGCCGAGTACAAATCAGCATGAAGTTTTAACATCTACTCTCGTGTAATGGAAATCATTTATAAAGATAAACATCCTTCACAGAACCGTGTACACCTATGGCAAGCCTGTTCTTTCATTTACAGTAAAATGTGCATAACTTTCAGTCGAGTCGAGTGTCTCAGATTTTGCAGTTTAAATAGACCTGCCTGCGTGAGACAAATACACTTCATTGGAAAATACTGAAATGATTTCAGTGCAGCTTCAACAAAAATCCTGCTTTTCAGCGCACAAAGGCTCAGCAAGCACTAAATCTGTTAACTAGTTCTAGCCTGGTTATTATAAAAGATGTTTGAGAAAATATTACATAGCCTATCAGATTTGAAACATCTTATTTTCTGTCAGTTCAACACACGGAAGCAGCTGAAGGCCTTGTTGACAGAGAATTCATCGTTTAAACAACTTAATAAATGAAACTCACCTGAGTAAACCAAAGGTACGCAGATGAAGAAAATAATGAACTTCTTCATTATGTATGAAAATCCATGTATTTGACACACAATTCTTTAAGTGTAGTTGTTGAAGAGCGCTGTAAAAACGCTTTAGCCTTTGCTACATCTCTGATTCAACAGGTAAAACCAGTTACTGAACTGACGTCACTGCAGCTCGAGAGAAACAGCCTCAATGCGGAAGTTTAGGGAGGAAACTTTAACTCAAAAGTTGTTGTGACTCGCTCAATAACTGGGTTTTCCTGTTGATTCAGAGATGTAGCAAAAGCTAAAGCGTTTTTACAGCGCTCCTCGATGACTACACTTAAAGAATTGTGTGTCAAATACTAGGATTTTTATCTATAATGAAGAAGTTCATCATTTTCTTCCTCTGCGTGCCTTTGGTTTACTCAGGTGAGTTTCATTTATTAAGTTGTTTAAACGATGAATTCTCTGTCAACAAGGCCTTTAGCTGCTTCCGTGTGTTGAACTGACAGAAAATCATGAGATGACATGGGGTTATTTTATTATTTTATAATGTTTCCTGGGTTGCCCTTATAATGTTAGTATGTTTTTTAGATCAAAAATAGTCATAATTTAGAAATAAAAGGCATTTTTCCTATAGCCTGATTTTAGCCTCTGATTTGAACGCTCTGTTTGAAGGGGCGTGTCTCTGTGGGATTCAGTGTAGCCAGCCACTGCTGTGATTGGCTGTGGGATTCAGTGTAGCCAGCCACTACTGTGATTGGCTGACATGCTTGCATATGAAATAGCTACATATTACATGTGAAACTCTCTCGAATACTTTTACTACAGCTATTGTACGTTTTTACTACTACAGCTATCGAGATTAACGAATCGTGAGAAGTTTTTAAAGTATTTAGATTTATTCCCATCACATAAAATGTTGCCGTGATGAGCATTGAGCAAGCAGATGACAGTCTGTTGATGGCGAGAATGAAGATCTTATCATTGCAACTCAGTTTCTGCACTCTCTAATGCTTTCACCAATGCAAACACGATGATGTAAATACAGTAAGAGCTTCGTTGTGCAGTGTAACGTGCGTCATTGATTTCATAAAGAGTTGTGCAGATAAACTCGCGCTGTGTGGAAAGATTGTTCTTTGATCGCTTTCTGTATTATTTGTTCACAATTTAAGATTATTTTCATCCTACTAAAAGAAATGATGTGAAGTTGATATTTTAGTCACTGGCTTGACTTACTGATGCATAAACAGTATTGAACGATTTTGAGAGAAAGATTACCTGTCTGAACTTGAACAATTAGCCTACACATCAGAAATTGTTGCTTGGTAGCTCGATCGATTTATTTTAGACGTTCATCGAGGCCAGCTCTGTATTGGCCCAAGTTGAGGAAACAGTCGTCGGTGAAATGTTCTTTGGACCATACAAAACTTTGGGAAGTTGTGTCAGCACATTTCCAGAGAAAATAAAATTAACCCATTGTTTCTTCAGAGGCTCAGATGAAGGAACTTAAAAATACTTGTGTGTTCATTTGTACATCCAAACACTGATCAACTGCCATGCTTCGCTCGTTTGCAAGCCATGATATCTCTCGAGGAAAAACTCAAATAGTGCTCACGTGTACCTAACGTTACTTCCTAGCTCATTTTCTCATGGGCGAGCCAAATTCTCGGGGCGGGCAAAGCAGAGAAAGGGGAGGTTACCTTTCCTCCGTATGACGTCATAAGGAGGGGATTCAAGATCAGCGCGTCTGAGCTTTCATTTTCTCAAAGGGAGAGAAAGATATAGCCAAAGCTCGGTTTACACCGATTGAAATTTCTAGCCACTGGGGGACCATATACAGGCTAGGGGAACTCATATTAATGTTATAAATGTTAAAAAACCTCAGAAAGTGAAAATTTCACGTCAGGGGACCTTTAAATAGAAATTAGATTTGGTAAAATTGCTAAGGTAAAGATCAGAACTGGATTCACACTCAGAAAATGTGTTTAATGAGTGAAACCTAAGGATTGTTTTCAATGGGATTAGGGTCTCAAATTCAATCAATATTTATTTGAATAGCGGTATTTTATAATTATTTGATTTATATCATTGTATGGTCTTTAGCTGTTTTGGATATCTTTATGTCTTGTGTTTTGTTCAATGTTTGTTCAGGAATGCACAGCTTCATCACCACTTACACTGAAATAAATGGACAGACGACTGCAGGAATCCCAGAGTTTTCTGCTGTAACGACACTGGATGGACAACAGATCGATTATTATGACAGTAACATAAAGAAGCTGATTCTCAAACAGGACTGGATGAAGGAGTTTGCATCTACATACATGTGGAAGGTCTACACTGATATCAGAGAAAAACAACAGCAGATCTACAAAATCTACATTCATGTTCTAATGGAGACATTCAATCAGTCACACGGTGAGAGAAAAAACATTATACTACATTAAAATGTCAAAGACCTTGTACATTAAAAAAGAGCACATGTTGTATTTTTTCTCTCTTCCACCCCATAATCTTCTTCAGGTCTTCATGCGTATCAGAGGATGTATGGATGTGAATGGGATGATGAGACTGGAGACTCACATGGGTTTGATCAGTACGGTTATGATGGAGAGGATTTCATCTCACTGGACCTGAAGGAGAACAGATACACTGCGTCTGCACAACAGGCAACAACCACAGCGATGATGTGGAATAATGATAAAACACAGCTGGAATTTCTGAAACAATACTTGCGATATGAGTGCGTTACCTGGCTGAAAGAGTTATTGATGTTAAGGAAAGCAGATTTAGAGAGAAGAGGTACTTTGTTGTAAAGAAATGTACTTTGTTCAATGAGTATATTTTTTTTTTATTATGAGTCATTAATGTCTTTCTTTTCTCATGCATTGCTTCATAAAAACTAAGCACAATTTAATAAGTTAATCATATGGATAAATGTAACTGATCTGATTGGAAGTATTACATATTTTTCTCACATTTTTCTCAATCTCTTTCAGCTCCTGAAGTGTCTCTGTTACAGCAGAATCTCTCTTCTCCGGTAGTGTGTCATGCCACAGGTTTCTACCCATCAGGAGTGAGCATTACCTGGTTAAGAAATGGAGTGAATCACTATAATGATGTGGAACTAGGAGAGCTTCTGCCAAATGAGGACGGGACCTTCCAGAGAAAATCTACCCTTTGTGTTTCTCCAGACGAATGGTATAACAACCAGTTCACTTGTGAGGTGGAGCACGAGGGAAAAACCATCCAGAAGACTCTGACTGAGGATGAGATCAAGAGCAACAACAGTAAGCTGTTATTAATAATGCGGTAAAGTGTTTATGGTGCTTGCTATAAAGTTTATCCTATCCTTACCACATCTGGCTAATGGGCATTTGATCTGAATGGAGGGACAGAAAGCTCTCAGACTTCATTAAAAGATCTTCATTTGTGTTTCAAAGATGAACGAAAGTCTTTCAGGTTTGTAACGACATGAGGGCGAGTATTAATGGCAGAATTTAGACTGCACCAAAGTCCTTTTAGGCAAGTCATGCCACTCGGCCGCCATCTTGGCAACGCCTCCGGGCAGCTATTTCGGACTAACAAGACCAGGCTCCTATCTAAATGAATGGGCAGAGAGTCAGAACTGCAGTTTCACTGGTCACCGGGACATAAAAACTGCATGTATAGAAACAGCAGTAAAATATGATCAAAATCGCTGAAAAAGTTTGATGACTTTGCCCCAAAATAAGGTTTAAAACGCCTTTTTGCCCACAGGTTATACGTTTACTACGCATGCGCATGTCGCATACGTTTACTACGCATGTCGCAAACATCAACTGTGCGCATGCGTCAGTGGAACCAGACGATAGGCTTACATGTTTCCCGGCTTGAATATGAGGCAAATGTAAAGCGCTTTGGTGGCCATTGGGTCTGTGAAAGCACTATATAAATGCAGTCCATTTACCATTTGACTGTTAAAAGCAGACGATTGGCTTTCCAGGGGGAGGGGCGGGACATGTGCATACAACCGCCATCTTTGGCGTTACGGGTTTTCCCTATATAGTTGTATTGAGGATTGAGGAAGTGGCATGTCTCTATATACATTGTCTCTGACTGTACTAACTCTTTAAGATCACACTGGGCAAATCTATTAAATAGATATTTTTTCAATCAAAATTGCACGTTATAAGGGATAGTTCACCTGAAAATCTACTCATTCTGGATACTCCATCTGGCGCGTGCAATGATGACGCAGATTCTCTGTGACCAATCAGCAGTCGGCATTGTTTTCACGTCACATTTTAGTATCGGCTTAGCTCGCCTCAGCTCGCTTAGAACCTCGCCGGAGGTGGTACGAAAAAAAGTACCCGAAAGCAGGTACAGGTACAACTTTTACACAGTGGAAAACCAAACAAAGGCGAGTCGAGTCGAGTCGAGCCGAGCCGAGCCGAGGCGAGCTGGTTCTGTGTAGTGGAAAAGCGCCATATGTGACTTGTGGGCTGTATAAAGTCTTAAGTAATATGATAACTTTGTTTGTTTGTTTGTTTGTTTGTTTGTTCATTTAAATGTAAGTTCATCTCAGTGCACTATGCAAACAGGTTTATTCTAATATAAATAAGGCACCAGGTTTTGGACTATTCCTCAAACATAACATTTACACGGCTTCAGAAGATTCTTGCAAGTTAATGTCCGGTTTTAATTCAGTTTTAATTGTCTTTCACCAGTTAGTAATTGCAGTGCTTTAACTTGCCAACACTCTAAAAAATAATTCAGAGGCTTTAAATATCACAGTATTAACTTTATTAACTTAATAAAATCTCTGAATATCATTTACTTGATGGTTTGAGTTGAACATACCAAAATAATTGACTAAAAATCCAAAAGTTAATTTTGTCTAAAATGTACAGTTATATATAAGTTTTTTTTCTCACTAAAATAATTTAGTATTTGACTAACCAATTATTTATTTTAAATAAACTTAATGTATTTGTGAAATTTCTATCAAAATATTTGAGAATGGAGAATTGATCTGATTATTAAACAATATTATTAATATATTTAACACACACTTAATAAATTGAGTAAGTTTACTCAATTAAAACAATGCACCCCTCCCCCACCGTCTGCCGTGACGACAACTCAACGGTTGAGTGAGCGCGGGCTGTTTGAACTCTTCAGTCTCCACTCCAGAACAGTTCTCCTCTTTTCTTCTCAGCGGCCCAGAATTGGTGTATTTCCTCTGTAAAATTCAGGTTTGTGTATGTTTTATTTTATCTATAAAATCATTACTGTGCTTTAAATCATTTTATTTAATGCAATGCAACATACAGAGGCGTAATGTGACACCCAAACTTGTGTCGCCTGTCTTTTCTCGTGATTGAAACGCCTTGCATAAAACACACGACTTTATTCCAAATGATAATGAATATAATTAATTTGGATGTCCTCAGAAGTGTGCACTGTTTGTTTATTGGCAGGTTTTGGAGTCGCGCCGCAGCATCTTTCGGTAGTGAAACGCGGGACGGCGGTCTAAAGTTAGAAGTTCCCCCGCAGAGCGCGAGTCCATCTCCGGCACGAGAACCAGCGCTGATCCGGTGGTTATTGGATAACAGACCGGTCGATTACACTTGAATAAGGCTACCTGAATGTTTAAATGTTTAATTTTTACTTCTAAAATATTTGGTAAATGAGTTTAAATGTAGGTAATATTGTATACATGTTAAAACAGTGTAAAATATGCAATATTGTTGTACTTATTGACAATAAAGGCCAATGTCATGTATACTGCTGGTTGTTGTATGGAATACTATTTTACAAGGGTTTAGAGGAAATAAAAAGGTTAATATTACTCATAATAAAAACAGTTAATATTAGGCCTACTCATAAATATTGTTTTTTTTTTTAATGTTTAAGTGTTAAATTATTTCCACTAAATTTGATTTGTTAATGTACCAGATGCAGTTACTCGGAATTACTTAATTTTTTTTACTTGCATTTATTTTCATATTTAATTGATTTCACAGCTTTAAAATGTACTCACTTTTTTTTAGTGTAAAAATGTTTCAGTAAATCGTAGTTAAACGTTTTAGAGTGAAGGCAACATTTGTAATTTACGTTTGTTTTTCATCAAATATTTATATTTTATTTGATATCATATTTATTTCAATTAACATTTTTTTTGTTAATGATATCAATCCTGGACCTAACTAATAATTTGTTATTAGTATTGATTATTATTTCATCAGTTAGTTGTTTAAGCCTTGTATTACTCTTACTTGTATATTATTGTATTTATTTTTTACACATTTTTATTTTATTTTTTTAAGGACCTACAAATGCATACTTGCTTCTTACACTGGTGTGTGTGATAGAAGTCATAGTCCTGGTTATTGGTGCTGTATTCTGTAAGTACAAAGTAAGTATATGTTTACAAGTCTTTTTTCTCATTTAAGTGCTTTCAGCTTTAGGATGATTGAAATGTCCTCAGCAATCACACAAGCATTCAAATGTTTGGATTTACACAGACATTTTAATGTGTTTGATCTGGAATTTGGAACGCTGTTTCAGTGGTCATAAAAATGCTATAATTAAAAATATCCTAATTTAATTAATCTTTATGACATTACTTTGCAGAAACTAAAGCATGAGCCCTTACCCTGTGAAAGCGAAGAGCAGATTTGCATTGATAAAGGTCTTTGAAGAGTTTCCTCCAGTCGTCTGCAATCTCTCCAGATTTCAGTCCGGGAATCTTCAGGTCATTTCCATCATGCTTGTGTGACCAAAACATGTTTCAGTGTTGAATAATAATCATAAGTGTGGACGCCATGGAAATGTTTTCCCAAACAAGACATGACCAAACAAATAAAGAAAAAGAACATATGTGTGGCGTTGAGTCTATAAAAACCCAATGAGGACACATCGATGTACAGTATACTGTAAGTGTGAATGCAAACAGCTAAAGAGCATCCAGAGACTGTCTAGATGTGGCACTTGTGTTAATATCAGGTGTAAAGGACGCCTTTGATGTTTCACTGCTGTGTGTGATTCTGTCTTTCACCACTCGCATTTGTATATATTTTAAATGAAAATGTCACTTTTTTTGTAAATATACAATTTATTTTCAAGTTGTAAGTTTAGTGATTACTAATAGTTTTACAGCTATTTTGAGTTTCAAATGGAAAAAAATAAACAATAAAATATTTAAGAACATGTTCAGTTCAACTTTTTTCTAAACAAAGTTGTTAATAGTGTGCATTTATACAAGTATGCTTATGAGTTCAGTATGTGACTTCTTTGTTATTAAGTCTTATCTTTTGGCAGGAGCTGTTGTCCACACTAATAAATATGGTATGTCTTCAGTTCCCAGAATGCACCATAGCATGCATGTATTATGCAGATTACTGTTAAAGGGTTTATACTGTCATTTATACTTGGTTTATACCCATTGGATTACATGGAAAGGGCGGGGCTTATGACCTATACTGCAGCCAGCCACCAGGGGGCGATCGAAATGCTTTGGCTTCAGGACGTGTTGGTTTTAATGTTATAAAAGTTGTTTTTTGTTTTAAAATTGCTGTCAAATTGATTAATGTCGATTAATCAACATAACAATTTGTGTGTGCTGAATGTGTGTGAGTGATTGTCCAGAGGCTGGCTGATCTCTGCGGGTGTGAGGTCACAGGGGACTCCTCGCTACGCTCAGCTCTTGCTGTTTTAGGACTTTGATGTCTCTTTTTGGGATGTTTAGACGGAGAGGGTATTTGGCCTAATTCTGCCCTGCATCCGTCGTTTGCTATTTTTCTTTTGACTTTGAGTATTCTTTTACAGAAATCTAAATGTAAATGTAAGTGTAAGTGTTTCAATCGGATTAATAGTTACAGATTAATAGTTTTCACAATTTAAGAAATCAAATTTTATAGGAGGACCCCACATTTCACTGCCATATAATGCAATTATTGATTTTAAAAGTTTGAGCCAGATTTGAATTGGGATTTCAATTTTAATCAAACTTGTTATGGCATAAAAAGCCCTTTGAGCTTTCTCTTTGAGTTCATTCACAGCCACAATAAAGTTACCAGTTGAAGATATTTTCAGGCCGAGGTAAGTGTATGTTTTTGTGCTCTCAATGGTTTTGTGTGATAGTGTGAGTGTGTGAGATCTGGAGTGTTTCTGGAACATCATTACTGTAGTTTTCTTGAGGTTGACGGTCAGGACTCACAGTAATCCTCCAGCAGATCCAGGCTGTCCTGAAGACCCTCTTTAGTGGGCGACAGGAGAACCAGATCATCTGCGTAGAGAAGACACTTTAGGGGCTTTCACACCGGGTAGTTA